ACGGACCACAGGAGCTCTGCTGGACCCTGAACCCACAGTTTATATCCATTGTAAAGTTCCAGGCCTTGTTCTCTGCGTGCCCTTTGATCCCCAGACAGAGGTGGTGGCTCAGATGCTATGTATGGCTATTACAAGGGAGCCCCACAGATGTGGTCAGAACCCAGTGACCCCCTGGAAATATACATCTCAGGTAAGGAAGCCCCATAACTCATGGAATCATTTTTAGGCCTCAAGATCTTTGCCATGAGCCCTGTTAATCTCTGGGGAATACCAGGCTGGAGGTAACTGAAGGAACCTCTTTGCTCCTGAGCCAGAGTCCCACAGAGAGACCATGGTGCCTGCAAGGCAGGATGGGAGGAGGCATATATATGAGTAAGAACCAAATTCTCAACCAGCATTCCATGTGGCCTCCAAGGCTGCCCTAGAAGCCCTTCATGACACCCAGCCAGGACCTATCTTGACCCGTAGAGATATCCTGACCCTCCACTGCGCTCTGACATCAGCTACAACTGATTCTCTTTGTTCAGAGAGAAGGAAACTGGCCTCCTCCAAAGTCCAGGCTGAGAGCCCCAGGCTTGTATTTTTCAGGCCAGCTTCCCACTTGCCCGTCTGAGGTCTTCCACTGGAGGCTGGCACAGGTGCTATGGTACACAGAGACTCTCCTCCCATTTGGCTGTCCCCAGTGATGACCTGGACATACTGATCACAGGTGAAGAGCCAAGTGAATCCAGTTAGGAACCCAGGATCTTCACAGATCCTGCTAGGAGAGCCCAGGGATTGAGGCTAGGATGAAGGTTTGGGGTAAAAGGGAGGAACAGGAACAAGACAGGGGAGAAGGGAAGGGTCAGAATCAGAGAAGCCAGACACAGAGACCCATATCCTCAGAAAACTCGGTCCCTCACCCATCCTTCTCTCTAGTACTTCTCCCTGTCACACCCTCCATCTCAATATAGCCAGGCCACACAGTGTCCTCTGGAGAAAACATGACCCCCCTGTGGTCAGTCATAGAGTCAGATGGACACTGTCTTTCTTACCAGCAAAGAGGTAATCAATTCCCCACTCTGTCTTAGCTTGAGGTGTCACACTGGGAAATACTGGGCAGAATTCTCCATGAGTGCTCTAACCTCATATGTTGGTGGAATTTAGAAGAGGTATGGTTTTCAAGGTTCATCCCCTGCCTGTTGTTATGTACCACTGCTTGTAGAGTGTGGAGCTTTTAGCTTCAGTTATGAGGACCCTTACCTGCCCCCAGGATAGCCCTTTGTAGAATGGGATTAGAAGTCATAGGAAGATAGAGACAGGAGATTCACCCAATTCACCCCCAGGACAGCTGGAGACCAACAGGAGGCCTTCCTGGAATTCCCACCCCACATCATTAAAATCTAGGTTCCAGCTGGACAGTAGAAAAAGGTCCCTGGGGAGGCCACAGGGCAGATGTAAGAGAGTGAACAGCAGCTGTGTCTCCATGTCAGATTCTGACTCTTCCCTTCCTCTTGTCCTCTTTCCCAGGTTCCTCTGTAGACAACAGCACCCCACCCACAGGGCCCAACTCAAGAGCTGGTGAGTGTGAGGGGTTTTGGTCCAGGGACTTTGCTCCATCCCTGAGCTGCCTGAAGACTCTCAGCCCATCTAAATGACTGTTCTTGTGTCAGTTAAGCTTGTGTCCAGAAGCCCCAAGATCAGAAAGAGATGCCAACAGAGACCCCAGAATTCCAGTCTTTGAGGTTGGGCTGCAGGAGGGTGCTTACAGGCAAAGCAAAGGTGTTTGGTCCCAGGCTTAGGGAGGAGCAGCTGGTCTGAGGGGGAGAGTAGAGCACCCAGACCCTCACCTTCCCATCCCCTCATGAGGACTTGAGAAGCAGCCACTCACTCCCATGGGGTCATTTACCTAGAATGGTAAAAGAGAACTGTAGGAATGTGGGTTCAAGGGGAACAGAAGTCCAGAATTAGTTATTGAGTTGGTGTAGTCTCTAACGAAGACGGTGTTTTGGACAAGCTCATCCCCCAGTGGGTTTTGGTTTCTCTGTGAATGAATGACAGAGCCATTCACCCTGACCTTAGAGTTCCTTTCAGCACTGACCTTGGCTGTGACCTCTCCTGCCAGAGGCCTCCACAACCTAATTCTGCAGTGGGCCTCTAAACTTGGCCACACTGATGTTGACATAGTGTGAGGGTCGTTCACAGGGACACAGCAGGACATTCGGGCTCCTTCTGTCCAGGGTCTCAGCTCTGGTAGAGTACAATATTGGAAATCAGATTCACTGGATTCAGTCAAACTTGGCTTCTTCCAGCTGGGTGACCTGGGGCAGGTGAACTGGCTGGGGGCAGAGCTGATCCCATGTTGTATGATCCCGAGGACAGGAGGTGCTGAATGTAAAGACCCAGCATGGGCCTGGCACACATTAGGTGCTAAAGTCAGCTAACACTGCTCCTGACACATGAAGTCATTTGTGCCACAGGACTGGGAAGTTACCAGATGATTCTGATCGGAGTCTCAGTGGTCTTCCTGCTCTTCCTTCTCATCTTCCTTCTCCTCCAACGTCGATGTCTGGAGAAATGCAGGAAAGAGGGTGAGTAGGATGGAGGGCTCCCCTGTGGACCATCCAATCAGGGGCTCAGAGCACCAGCTCTAGGGAAACCAGCCAGACTGGAGCAAGCCAGCTTAGGAATCTTTCCATAGAATATCAGATCAGAAACACGTGATCTCAATACCTGTGCAAAGGTCTGGCATTCTGTGAGCTATTAATCTGGTCATTCACCTACTTACCCCATGTGATATAAAGATCCTTTGTTCACTGCAGGTTCTGAGAGAGAATTTTCCCACCCCTGGCTGAGACTCTTATCTCTCTTTCAGTCCAGAGTGAAATCACTGACGTACAACATCCTGCAGAAGCCAAGGAGCCAGTGCCCAGGGAGAGAGGTCCTCAAAAGAGGTAACTCAGGCCCAGTAACCCAGATTCCCACTTGTCTGTCATTCCTCACCATCAACTCACACCCCTTTGTGCCCTTAGACCCTGTCCAGCAACTGCCATCAAGAAAGAAATCCTGTGTAAGAGAAGAGGGCCCTGGGGAAGAGGACACCTGAGGTCTCGGTGGAGGGGAGGGGCTGTGGTCAGTGCTTTGTGGGACTGCACTCTCACTATGGACTGGGGGCATTACAGTGCTTCCTGGCTCTGCCAACATGTGAGGCAGCAGAGGGATCTAAGGACCTGAAAGATCCCAGGACTCTGGCCAGGAGACAAATCCCTTTTTCTTCCACATCAGATGCTTCTGTGAAGATCCAACAGCCAAAGGGCAGCGTGGAGACGGACAATCTGGTGAGACCCTGTCCCAGTTGACAGTGCTGTAGTCCTTCCAGCCCAATTTGTTCCGGGGTCCTTCTCTGTTCTTCCCTCTCTCAGCCCTCAGTCACATGCACAGCTGATCTCCTCCTTCTGGAAGCACCTGCTACTCTCTGCTAGGAGCTCACTATTTCTTGGTTTTCCTGGCAGCAGGTGGCCCCTCTCTGGCTCTTTTCTGACTCCTCAGGAGCTGCCTGGCTGTTACCATGTTCCCAGTGTCTCAAAGGACACCTGAGGGGCTGCAGCTACAGCTCAGTGGTAGAGGGATTATCTACCATGTACAAAGCATTTGGTTTCATACACAGCACTGAGAACAGAATCAGTAGGATACATAAATACATGAGATCCTGGAAACCTGAGCTCCTCCACTCGTTCCCCTTCTGCCCACCAGGGGCTCCCTCTTTTTCTTTACATATGTATTTGTGTGTGCACATTTGTGGAGGACCTGGATTGGCACTGGGTTACTTTCTTAATCCTGTCCACCTTATTTTTTGAGACAGATTTCTCACTGAACTTAGAGCTTGGTGATTTGGCTAGACTGACTGGTCAGCAAGTCTCAGGGATCTGGTCTCTCCCTCTCCAGTGCTGGGATCACAGCCTTGCCTAGACATTATATGGCAGGGTGCTGTGGATCAAACTCCAGTCCTCATTCTTGTCAGCAAGTATGTTACTGGCTGAACCATCTCCCAGATCCTGGAGCTCCCCCTGGATCAGGCTTCCTGTAGGGGCTGCAGATGTTGCAGGGAGTGAAGCTCTCCATCCACTGGGGACAACTGCAAGGGGAGGGGACAACCAGCTAACAATGCAGAATGGGAGCAGTGCCATGTGCTTCAGGAAAATGGAGCAGAGAAAGGGGAAGGAGAGCAGACAGGGCCAGTGTGAATCTTCAGGGCGCTCTGACAGGTGTCTTCCCAGATAAACTCCAATGAAACAGCTCCTGCAGGCAGAAGACACTTCAGGCAAGTAGGTCCTGGGGCAGGAGCAGGCTCTCTCAGGAAGTTGGGTTGTGTTACTGGAGGTCAGCCTTGAAGGAAGGGAGCTGCCAGATACCTCAAGTCTTCAGGAACCCCCTGAAGACCCATTAGGAATGCTCTGGTCTGATTTAAATGTCTAAAGGAGTACTCTGGTCACCCCATAGAATCTGACTGGCCAGACCTTAGGGGAACCAAGAGACACTGTCTCACTGCCTCCCTTCTGCAGAACCCACCTGATGAAGACTCCCTGAAAGAGATGTATGCCCAGGTAAAACCCTCCAGGCTCAGGAGGGCAGGGGCCACCTCTCCTCCTTCAACCTTCTCAAGGGAATTACTGAGCTCAAAGAACAGAGAGACAGAAGAAGACAGAGAGAAGGACAGTGAGGTGTGTCTTGTCCTCCCTAGTACCCAGGCTCCCAAATCCAGGCCAAGTACCTAATTTCTTCTCACCCTCTCTGACCCCAGGCTGCTTTGTATGAGGGTCCCCAGGATGTGCACTATGCCCAACTGTGTATCGTGACACCAAGAAAGGCACAGATGAGCCTTCTGCCTCCCACTCCAAGAATTCCAAGATGAGACCAGGCAGCCCCTGGCTCTGGTGTCCACCAGCCCAGGAAGATTCTGACCCCACACACCATGGAGAGTCACTCAAGGACATCTGAGAGTCAGGATTTGCCCTGAGTGGACAGCCATCTTGTAGAACCCACCTTTCTCCAGGAGATTCTGGGAATTTTCTGGGCTCCACTTGAGATAATAGTGTTTATAAATTTTGTAAATAAATCCAAAGTCTTGTCAGTAATCAGTGAATGAAGTGAGAAAAAGAAAACTGAATTAAGAGAAGCCTATTTTAACATGAGTTTATTGTCAGTCATTCTTCAATAAATCTAAATCTGAATGAGAATTAAACAGACCACATCTATCCATAAAATGACAATTCAGAATCATAAATAACTTGTAAGAAAATAAATGATGACCTCCTAATCATATTGAGAATTCAGAAAAAAGTAAAACAACCTGTTCTAAATGAAGCAATGGAAAGGGAAACAATATATAAAGAGGTGCCATGAGCTATGAACATGATTACACAGGAAAATAATCACAACCAATCAGGAGGATGAGGCAGGGGAACCACAAGTTCTAGGCCAACCTGGGCTACATACTGTTCAAGGTCAGCCTGTGGGACTTTGAAGAACATCTCAAAATCAAAATCGAAAGGCACCTGCAGATATAGCTCTGTTGTAAAGCACTTGCCTGGCACATGAGCAACTAACCTGTATGGAATGAGAAAGAGAGGGGAGAGAGAGAGAGAGAGAGAGAGAGAGAGAGAGAGAGAGAGAGAGAGAGAGAGAGAGAGAGACAGAGAGAAAGAAAGAGAGAGAGGCTCTATTAAATTCAAGCACTAATGTTTTATGTGGACACACCCAGAAATGTTATCACTGGATCAGATACTAGCTCTGATTTGTAATTTTTCAGGAACATCTGCAAGGTCTGGCTGGGAATACTTTGATTTATTACAGAAAAATAGCACATGAGTATTCTTTCCCCCTATATTCATAACAGCATTTTTCTTTATTGCTTTTTATAGTTTTAAAAAAGGGATTTACTGTGGTATTTTCATGCATGATGTCACTTAACATGGTTTATAGTCAACAATTTCCTGCTGCCTTCTCCGTCCCTATTTATTCTGAATGTTAGTCCCCTTCCTCATCACTAATAATCCTCTTTCCTTTAATATCATGAACATTCTCACTTCATTCTAGATTGCTGGTAGGAAACCAGTATGACAGGCCCTAGGGTGAAGTGAGCCTAAAACTTATAGGTCCAGGCTGCATTCTCTGCTAAAGGGAGGGGCACTGAAAACAGTGGCTCTGATAATCCCTGTCTTGAAGAACACTGCTAGATTGGCAGGAGGAAGCAGCCTGATCATAAAAGTGCAGGCTCCCTGCTCTGTGGGAAAGCGTTTTGGTCAACAACCCTTAGCTCATCTCCTTGTCCTGAACAAATTACTCAGCTATCCCTGGCTAAAAGATTAGGCCAGGTTAAAGGTTTACTCCTGAGCTAAAAGCTAAAAGTTCACCATGCTTTCAGCTCTAAGAAAGAAAACATTGTAGCTAATAAATTACAGGATGGGTATTGAGAACTGTTCCAGGTTTCCTCACGGGTCCAGCCCATGAGGGACCACAGGGAACGAGGGTTCTGGCTGAGGTGGGGGTGAACCCTGTGGAGTCAACACACAGATTCCAGGAGTTGGGTGGAAGCAGGCACTAGGCGAGGTGCTGCAGACTCGTTTATTGCTGGGAAGTGCAGGCCTTATATATTTCTCCCGCTGCCCCCAGTGTCCCATAAGCTGGTGTGTCACTCCATGATAGATCTCCTCAACCAGGCCTCTCATGTCATCAGTCTCTAGGTCTGGGGGCAGATTAGGTTGGCTCTTTTGTGGAAGCACGGGCTGTGCTCTCAAGGTGGAAGCTGTGTTCTCTAGTGCGGCCTGTGCTTAGGCCTGGCACTTCTCCCCTAAAGATCACCTTGAGTAAAAGTTTAAGAATCCTTCTGGTGCCAACTAACAGACCAAATGTCCTGTTTCTTTGTACCCTAAATCTTTGTATGTGACTGCCATATCCCACGTGACTGCTAGTTCCTTTGGATGTATAAAAACCATCTGAATTTTAAAATAAATTGGCTTGTTGGGAAGACACAGGTCCCAGAGTTTATGACTGTGTCACCAATCAGACCCTCTGCCCTGAAGCCAGTAGGTCCCCTGATAAGCAAAGCAAACCTGAGTCCTGGCAACTGGTGCCTGAAACAGGGAAACTCTCAGACCTCTGCTTCACTGCGGACAGAGCAATCCCCCACCACCACCCACTTCGGCTCATTGGATCCCCTTGTCATGCTGGTTTGTAGGTAAGGGGCAATTGTAAATATGGGTAATTCTCTTTCTCCAGACAAGTCTCACTTCCAATATATTCTTAAATGCACGCTAAAGTCTAGAGGAATTAAATGTACAGAAATTCACATTAAGGCCTTTTTAGATATTACTATAGAATGTAATCCTTGATTTCCTGCTATGGGAACTATTGACTTGAAATCTTGGAAAAGAGTAGGAGATAATGTACAGAATTATCAAAACCAGGGCAAGACTGTTTCTGTCTTCTATTTCCCTCTCTGGTCTGCTCTTTGACAGTGTCTCTAAATAGAAAAAGAACCCCCTCCCTCTACGGCCCAGTCACCTACACATCTACTCCCTCCCACCACCAG